TATCTGGGAGCCAATGAATTTCGTGTCCACTGCAGGAGTAAGCATGCAAACAGTAAGGAAGATTGTACATTATACATGCCAACTCTTCTGGAGAATAACATAGGCTACCTGCCTATGTTACTTCACTGAAGTAAAGAAATGCATATGCTAACTCTTTGGACAGGTGAATATGAGCAAAATATGAGAGCACTTCATCAAGACCTGTCGGTCATCTGTGTGCCTACACTCTGAATTTTCTGATGGGACAAAAATTGCCTGGCCATTCCTCTATAAATAAACATGAGTCCTGAGCCAAAATATTGGTGTATTCAGTAACAAAGCTAGATGGTTTAAAGCCCCCCTTGTCACTAACATTGGTGCTTTTTATAGAGTCTATGCCCATTAGATGCTTGCCCCTGTTGAGACCTCAAGCACTCACTTACTCTCCTCTAATGCATGACGTTGCTTACTATGGAATCAACTGGACAGATGACTGTTTGGGAATCTGTTTATTGCCAGAAATAAAGGTGACTGGTTCACCAAAGTTATCTCTGCAGCTATGACCTCAGTGTCTTCCAACACAGTGCTAACAACATCATGCCAGTGTGCTCCATGTGAGACGTGTCTCTACAGCTAGCTTATTTTAGAGTGGTCATCAATTTTAATGCAGCAATATTCATAACTAACTAATGGCACCAACCTATGTGCCCAACAACAGAGAACTGGATAAAGAAAATGTTGCCCTTTATATACAGTGGAAGTTTTTACAACCATGGAGAAAAATAAAATTATGCTGTGTGTAAGAAACTGAAAGTAATCATATTAGATGAATAATCAGTCTCAGAAAGAGAAATATCATGTTTTCCTCTCATTTCTGGGCCCTAGGCAGTATAGACATGTTGAATGATAGATGTACTGATGACAAGAATCAAACTAACTGTGGAATAAAGGGGACTAACTAATAGGAAGAGAGGGAAGGAGAAAGAGGATGCTGAGAGGATACAAGGAGAATATGTTCAAAGTATATTGCATACATGCATGGAAATGCCCTTGTGTAACACTGTACAATTAAAAATTAAATCAGGTCTAGGCAGTGGTGGAGCACAAGGGAAGCAGAGACAGGTAGATCTCTGTGAGTTCAAAGCCAGCCTACTATACAGAGGACAGCTAGGGCTGTTATATAGAGAAAAACCATGTCTCAAGAAAAAAGATTATATGATGGAACAAAGAGAACATCTTCAACAAATGGTGCTGGCTTAACTGGTTGTAAACATGCAGAAAACTGCAGTTAGACCCAAGCCTATTGCCTTGCACAAAACTTAAGTCAAAATGGATCAAAGATCTCAACATAAATCCAGCTACACTGAACCTATTAGAAGACAAAGTGGGAAATACCTTTGAATTAATTGGTACAGGAGACCGCTTCCTGAACAATACACAAGTAGCACAGACACTGAGGTCAACAATTGATAAATGGGACCTCCTGAAACTGAGAAGCTTCTGTAAAGCAAAGGAGACAGTCAGCAAGACAAAAAGACAGTCAACAAACTGGGAAAAGATATTCACCAACCCCACATCTGACAGAGGGCTGATCTCCAAAATATACAAAGAACTCAAGAAGCTAGTTCCCCAAACACCAAACAACCCAATTAAAAAGTGGCGTACAGAACTAAATAGATAATTCTCGATAGAGGAATATAAAATGGCTTAAAGACACATAAGAAAGTGTTCAACATCCTTAGCCATGAGGGAAATGCAAATCAATACAATTCTGAGATACCAACTTACTCTTATTGGAACACCAATAATAGTTCATGTTGGAGAGGATGTGGAGAAAGGGGAACACTTCTCCACTGCTGGTGGGATTGCCAACTTGTACAGCCACTTTGGAAATCAGTATGGCGACTCCTCAAGA